TGTATATCTTTCACCTCATCTAGAACCTGTATTGTCGCAGCGGTTCATGACTTATCTTAACATTTAATCGTCTTATTACTAGTACTAGTTTTTAGTACTGATCTAATTCTACCAATTCTTTTAAAATTTTCACTCCTTTGTATTTAGAATTCAGAATTGATTTACATATACAGGTTCTAGACTCTTTAGTGTAACATAAATACTAAAAGTTATACAAAAATTACAAATTCTAAGAAAATTATACGGAACCATCATAAGATCATAGTAGTTATAAAGCATTCCGTTTAAATTTTGAAAGTATACAGAAAAAGTTCAGTGATCCGCATAATTTATTTATCCATTCGTCTTGACAAAGAATGATGTCTTAGAGCAACCCAGGAGATATTCCAGTATAGCGAAGGTATCTCTCAGCAGTGAGGGAGGTTGAGGGGGGAGAGGGCTTAAAAAGGGAGGGTATTTAAGTTGAAATTAGATAAGATATTTACTGACATTTGACGCCTTAAATGGGAAAACAGTAAAATTCATACATATGTCCAAGAGATGGTAAGTTGAGGCGAGATTAGGCGAGATCGTGTAATCATGATCAAACGGTGACATACGACAGTTGAGATTTGAAATTAACAAATACATAATAATAATAATAATAATAATAATAGTAGTAGTAGTAATTGTAATAATAATAATAATGATAATAATGATAAAAAGAATAATAGAAATTATACATTCTGCGGCGATAACGGCAGGAACGACAAGTTCAATGATGAGACGAGACGATACGAGATAGGAAAATATTGTACCTGTTTGCGACCAAGTCCCCGTTTCGACCAAGGGAAACTATCGCGTCGCCGACGAGCATGGCGCTCCGAGTGCCGCCCTCGCTTCTGTGATGAGCCACGAATACCAATAAAGCTCGCAACGTGTTTTCTCGTACCACGATCGATCCGTCGTACCCGCACGCGAGCAACAGAGCATGGTCGCGTGTTCTGCGATGCAGACCGATCCCAAGATTTCTCGTTCGATGGAGCGACGGAACCACGTCGATCAGCGTAGCCTCTCGGAATTCTGCCTACACAGGAAAACGCGAAAAAGTGTGAAGAACCAGTTGATTAAATTTAATTTAATTTAATTTAATTTATTTTTAACTTATTTTACTCATACAGTGGCCCACAAAAGTATTCGTACACCTTTTAAAACGCAATAACTATTTTAAAACTGAACTAAATGACTCGAATTGTTTTTAAATGATAGAGAGACTAGTCTACTAGACGATGATTGAAATGATCTTTTTTTTTTAATTTTGCTACTACTTTTACTACAAAAAAATAAAAATCTCTCCTTTTTTAACTTTTTTATCTGAGCCTATAATGAAAATTTAAGGAATGTCTTTCGTAGATCTCGGCAACCTATATGCATGTTGAAAATTTTATCGAAATCGGTTCACGTTGTTACGAGTTACAATAAATTAAAGATCGGAAAAATCGCAGTTTTATCACGATTTTGACCATGTAACGTACGGAGAATTTTCCGACGTGTTTTTTATACTCCTCCCTGAAGGCATACGTCAGGCTGGCACCAACCAGCCAGGGGTTCGTTTGGAGCACATACGAACATCCCCACTACTACTAAGAAAATGTGGGTATATAAAAGACCCAAACGCGAACAGAAAGCGGGCTGGTTTCAAGTCAACCACCGACGAAGAAATATTAGCAAGATCGAGTTTAATTCTCTTTCGAGCACATTGTTACGAGCCGAGGGCGTGGCAGGTTGGGTGGCCGGAGGTTGGATGCAATTGGGATTTTTGATAGGGGTGCGTAGACCAGCCGATGCTTATTTCGGCACGGATGGCTACCTTTAAGGTAAGGATAGTTTGGCGGCGGTTCGAAGGTCGTGGAGATGGGAAAGGAAAGGAGTAGGGAGACGTTTCGTCCGGGGCCCGCTAGAGGACTCATCGGTAAGGCTATCCTAGCGGGCCCTTGCCTTAGACGTAAGGGTAGGACGAAGTCTCGGTGTATATATAGGGATCGGAACGGATCGGCTACTAGCGGGAAGAGGAGCCCTCTGCTGGCGGGTCTGGAGGTAGCCGCCACAATAGTATTTGGAGAAATTGGTATTAGGCTGCCTCGTAACTTTGTAAGAAAGAGAAATAAAGATATACCTCGAGTGGTAAAGATATATCTTTGTGGGTTATACCAACTACTGCTTCGAAATATGAAATGGAAATAATTGAACTTGTAACCAAAGAAAACTGGTAAAAGCTAATTTATTACGCGTTTTGGGTTTTTACAGATGTATGTAGGTGTTCGCGGACTCTATCGTGCTCTCAGCTTTTCGCACTGAGTCGGCGGGGGCTTCTGATTTGATATCTAATTACCTACTAAATTGTTCGAAGGAGAATTAAGACTCGATCTCACTAGAGTTTCCACGTCGACGAATGACTCGAAACTAGCCCG